AGGCTTACCATCAAATACCTGTTAATCCGGACGATATATGCAAAACAGCCATTACCACTCCATTCGGACTTTACGAATTTCCTTTTATGACATTCGGATTGCGAAATGCTGGACAAACTTTTCAACGCTTCATAGACGAAGTTACCAATGGGTTGGACTTCTGTTATGCATATATTGATGACATTTTGGTATTCTCTAAATCGGAAGAGGACCACAAACAGCATTTACGCACTTTTTTCGGGAGACTTTCTGACTACGGTGTTGTCGTTAACCCGCAAAAATGTGTATTAGGTTCGGCTGAGATGAAATTTCTAGGTTACCTAGTATCTTCTGAAGGCACCCGCCCGCCACCGGAACGCGTCGAAGCCCTACGACAGTATCCATTGCCAAAATCTATGCAAGGATTACGCCGGTTTTTGGGAATGGTAAATTTTTATCGCCGGTTTATTCCCAAAGCTGCCGACCTGCAAGCACCACTTCACGGTATTCTCAAAGGCCCGAAGACAAAAGGTTCCCAACCGATAGAATGGACTCCCGAGTTAGAAAAAGCGTTCACCACATGCAAAGAAAGTCTTGCGACCGCTACTCTTTTAGCACATCCTCATCCAGCCGCACGACTTGGACTAATCACAGACGCATCTAGCCAATCTATCGGCGCATGTCTGCAGCAGCGAGTCAATAACATCTGGCAACCCATAGCATTTTTTTCAAAGAAAATGTCTGTGAAACAAAGTGCGTGGCCTGCGTATTATCGTGAGTTGCTTGCCATCTATGAATCGGTGAAGTATTTCAGGCACATTGTCGAAGCACAACCATGTACCATTTTCACCGATCATAAGCCACTCGTATATGCTTTCACCCAACGGAGAGAAAAGATACCTCTTACGCAACTCAACCAGTTGACATTCATATTCAAATTCACCACCGACATTTAACACATTAAAGGTGATGAAAATATCGTCGCGGATACAATGTCACGCATTGAAGTTGTGTCTCTCCCGCTGGACTACCGAGCTCTTGCTGCATCTCAAGACACGGATGATGAACTCAAACATTTTACTGACAACAATTCATCTCTTCATTTGGAGAAGGTACTAGTGCCAGGATCTTCAGCCTATATTTATTGCGACACGTCAACGGGACGCCCACGACCATTTTTGCCACAACGATTCCGGCGTCACGCATTTGATCAGTTACACAACCTTAGTCACCCCGGTGCACGCGCAACAGCTCACTTAGTTTCAGAACGATTTGTGTGGCCAGCAATGAAAAAGGATTGCCGTTCCTGGGCACGTGCCTGCGTCCACTGTCAGCGATCGAAAATAAGCCGACACGTCTCAGCCCCACTGGGAAACTTTGAAACACCTTCACGCCGATTCAAACATGTTCATGTCGATATCATCGGTCCATTGCCGCCATCACAGTCCTTTAGGTACTGTCTGACGGTAATCGACCGTTTGACCCGTTGGTCGGAGGTGTATCCACTCGAACGTATAACAGCAGATGATGTCACTAAGGGTTTCCTCAATTGCTGGATTTCACGCTTCGGAGTACCTCAATACGTTACGACTGACCGTGGTACTCAGTTTGTTTCAGCTACTTTAAAAACTTTAGCAAAACGTTTTGGTTTTACGCTTCGCCCCACTACCAGTTGGCATCCTGCTGCAAACGGATTCGTCGAACGAATGCACCGACAACTAAAGGCAGCCATCATGGCCCACGCAAAAGACTCGTGGACTGAGTCACTGCCTATCGTGCTTCTCGGAATACGTTCTGCGTTTAAGGAAGACTTAAAAGCCACGTCTGCGGAACTTGTTTATGGGGAGCCTCTTAATCTTCCTGGTGATTTCTTCACAGACAATCAAGATAATAGCAGTACGAACGACCCTACTAGCTTACTAGATCGTCTTCGCAGTGTTATGAATAAAATCCGTCCAGTACCTGCATCTCGCCACTCAAATCCACGATCATTTGTTTTTGCGGACCTTAAGGACTGATCACACGTATTTCTCAGGGAGGGAGGTGTCCGAGCAGCACTTCAACCGCCATATCAAGGTCCCTACGAAGTAATTGCCCGAAATGACAAAACGTTCACAATAAAAGTTCGAAATCAACCAGTTACGGTGACGATTGATAGAGTAAAACCTGCCTACCTCATGGTGAACGAAAGCACAACCGATAGCCAGGCACATGCTCCACCAGCGACTGCCCCGAATACGCCCAAACAAAAACAACCGCCTAATACCGATCCATCAACACAGCCTGTACGAACAACTCGCTCAGGCCGCCGAGTCAGATTCCCGGTCATTTTTGACCCTAGCAAACTGCAATCCGTAGGAATTCTAGAAGATTCGTCGCTCTACATAAGCGTGTGGCGGTCGAATGTTCTAGAGAGTTCCGCCGCCGCCTCTAGAAGATTCCTCTGACTATTTAAGGGCAAGATCGTCGCTCCAGTCAATCAATCGATCAGTCAATCACTTACGCACTCTGTCTTAAACGCGCTTCGTCTCTCGCTGTTATTTGTTAGTTCGTTGTAATATAGTATAGTTGTTATTAAATCGTAAAAGTGTTTATTACTTCTATATATATTACACCTCGCTACAAAGATAAAAAGATAAGTTATTTTTTTTTAATTACATTACTAATGAGAGATTTTGATAAAAACACCAAATGTGAAAAGATTCTAAGTCAGAGAGAGCACAAACGCGAAACAGTCTGGTGCAGAGACGTTTCATGACCAGATTTTTAGAAAAAAATAAGGTGGTAAATGAACTAAAAATCGCTCTTTTATAGACCTGTTTTATACGGGGGAGACTTAATGTTTTATACTTTAATTGCAAAATCCTTCTCATTGGCTAGTCAAGGTAACTTGAATAGACCTATGCGCAATCTATTATTCTACTAATTTGAGTTAATGTTTCATATTTGTATTGGTGTTTATATCTATCATTTTCCATAATAATGTGGTTTATTAGAAAAATCATCAATATAAAAATATAAATTAAATAAAATTATAAGTGCTAAATATCTATTACAAAAATTTGAATTAGCTTAAATTACCAATTTTATTCATCGTCGAAAGCGACCAACAGTTGACGAATCTGTAACACTTGTGTCTTTCATGGTTAGGGTTCCAGGTTCGAATCCACCTGTGGCAATTAATATTTTTACAATCCTCAATTCACCTACTTTTTTCAACGATATGTCAAATGATTACAATTCATACTTAATTGAAGATATTACCCTCAAAAATTAAAAAAAAATACCTTAATCAAATAAAAAGTATCTTAAAAAGCTTTATCCATACAAACAATTAAAACGATTCATTTCTAATATTTTAAATGTATTTATTGTCGTATTAGATTTGATATCATAAAAGTATTCAATGCAAAATTCAATAATTTAACTTTGTAATTTATTAATTTTTTAACTATTTGTGTGTGTTATTAACAGTCTATAATATTCCAAATTTTTTGGTAACATATTGCTATATAAAACAAAAATCTAAAAACAAAAATGATTTTTAGTTTCACCTGAATTTAACAATCGATTTTTACAATTATAATCAAATTTTATAATATGCTTAATTGAGTAGATCTTTTTAACAACTTTTTTTTATTGGTTTTTTGAGTTAAAATAAATCATTAAAATTAATTCAGTTCTGTAAATTTCAATTGGAAAATCTTTTTAAACACCAAAAATTAACTAACTTTTGGTTATAAATGATTACTATGCTTTTTATTTAAGATATATATTACGATAAAAATTTAAAAAAAAATTGAGTTTTCCTGATAAATTTACTGTAAATATTAATTATAAAGTTTGCTGACTGCATATTAACCTTAACAATTTCATTTTTTTCTATTTAATAATGTCAATTTTAAACTTGTAAGTTGAGTTAAAAGTTATGGTAATAAATTCATGTTATAAATAAGAAAATAGGAGTTCATTTTGCTTTTGTATTTATCTACCAATTTCTTAGAATTAAACACTATCTGCAAATTTGCATCAAAGTAACATTAGTAATAGTAGTTAAACTAAAATAACGTGTTCAAATTTTATGGTCGTATTATTTTTTAGCGTTTGTATTGATAATTCTCACTATAAACGAAATAAAAGTAACATTTTATATTTTTAGTCAACCACCGTCGCACAATAATCATTTCTCGTTAAATATAATAAGATATCGTTTTCGTATTCGTTATAATTCTATATAATTAAAGGTAATACAATATACTTTAAGATTTTAAAAAACGATCTGAAATTACGATTTCTATAAGTTATTAAGCAGTGAAACTATTAGTCATACAATTTTTGTAAAATTAATCGATTTTTTAATATTTGGAATAGTAACGGAATGCTTATATAATTCTAAATTAGTTCAAGTTAAACCGTGTTTAATATAATATACAAAATAGAAACGTTCTGGTGACTTATCTTCTATAAGTAATTTACCTCTAGAATTAATTTTGGTAGATCTGTTAATTCTTTTTTTTTTTTTTAATGCGTTTCGAATACTTATCGAAGCGTTTTATGATAGTAATATTAACTATTGTTAAATATCAATCAATGCTTATTTTCAAAAAGGTCTCAACTTCATTTAACTGGATTTCTACTGTATTTTATTGATATTTTAACGTTTATCGTTTAAAATTTATATTGTTTTTTGAAGTTATAGTTAAACGTTTTCGAGTTTTGGATTAAATGATACATCATGTATCTAATAATATAATAAATATAAATTAACTTGATTAAACAAATATAATAAATTATAGAGGAATTATTCATTCAGTTAATTTAGATTATAGATAAAGCCTACTCTTCAAACAGGTATTTGCAAAATAAGAACATATTTGAAATATTTAGTTTTTAATCATTATGACCAGTTACAAAAATATAAATTATATTAAAATTAATAATGTTTACCAAAATTCAGATTTCACATTCATACTAAAAAATTTAGATAAATAAAAAACGATATAACTGTTTTTTAAATTTAATATTACAAGTATAGGAAAGAATATTTTTTATGTATACCAAAATATTACGAATAGATTTTATTGCAAGTTCTGTTATGTGCATTTTAAAAATAACACGTTGTTGAATTTCTTTTTTGTTTTATTGGAAAATAACAAACATTGGATATATCAAATTTGAAAATATGATAAAGCGCAGAATATATGATATTTATTTGCTATTTTTCTTTTTTATACTACAAAGGACATTATATTTAAGTTTGATTTCACGCTCATCTCGAATAGAGAAACTAGTTTATGATCATATAATCACCCATACGATGCCGCATATCCCATGCGCCTCATTAGTGAATCTCTAAGAGCTGGTTGGACAGCTCGTTCTAAATGTCTGGCTAAAAGTCGACGAACTCCTCTAACAAAAGTTTCTTCCATTTCCATCATGATTTTATCGTCAAATATGGTAGAGGCTTGGTTATTGTCATGATTTTGCAATGGTGCATTATGTTCTTGATAGTAATGATGGACAGGAGACAATGGTTTTGGTCTATTAACGTTAATTTTTACTAGCCTCAAACGAGGCTCCGGATCTGTCGAACCATTATCACTAGATGTAATAAATCCTGCTGGGTTCTTTGGAGGAGGTTCTGTTGACAATAAAATTTCTAATTGCGGTTGTTGTTGCTGTTGTTTTTTTTGCTGTTTATGTTGACTAATAGCTGTTCGTCGTCCGGTGTCTGACTCGAACGAAAAGTGATCGTCTTCCCCATTATTTAGTCCACCATCAGTGTCAAAGAAGTGGCCATCATCTTCTTCTTCGGATGACAAAAGTTCTTCATTTCCATTTAGTATCTGTTCAAACTGATCATTATCATCCGTTGCTGATGCAAGCATTTGTTCTCGACTACCATGGCCCATTCCTATACAGTTGTATGCATGTACACTTAACATAGGCATGCTTGATCCATCTTCTGAACCGGTAGTTCCCAAGTCATTTGAGTAGTTGTCTTCCATATTGTCTATAAATGTAGCTGTAGTTCGAATAGTTATTGTACCTGCAGTATTTCCACTTTCCAAGCGATTATTGCCGTTAGGATTACCTATAGATCCCACTGGAGCAGCCGTAAATCCTAGTCCCACTCTTCGACCATTCGATCGTAACCGTACAGCCATATCACAACTAGGCGTTGTTCCATCCGGAAAACCAACGATTCTTCTGCCATCTGGATAAACCAAGCGTACTGTACCTATGACTTGAAGAGGTCTACCAAATCTCATACGGGCCTCTAGCACTCCAAGATCTGGTCGATAACGGCATCCAGCTGCCGGGTCAACTTGAGCCCATAAGCCTCCACTGTCTAAAACTTTCGCTCTTAAACCAGTAACATACATTTCAGCACCAGCTGCAGATCGCAAACGTTGGTGTAGAGCATAACCTGAAAGATCCATAGCTGATATCCCAGATGCCGCGCTGCTACCTTGTCCAGTATGTCTTCGATTGCCTGTCCAATCCATAACTTCAGCCAATGCTTGTTGTATATTGGCTGCGCACCGTTGGTCTGCTGCAATAGCTGTTATAATACGAGATGCCTCGCCTGTTATCTTGGACTCAACAATTGTTGGAAGAGCTGTAAAATGTAATATTCAAATAAAGTAAATAATTATGATGATAAATTAAAAAATTCAAATTCAATATTTAATAAAATTATAAAATAGTTATTATTTTAGGATGAAAGTTATTAAGAAACCGACTAAAATTATGTCGTAACGTACATTTGTTGTAGTGGGGAGAATAACTTACAGATAATATCGCAACAGATCGACAACGGGCGTGTAGTGTTAGATGAACTTTGTACTTCTCCTAGACATACGCGCGAATTTGGGAATCTAAGCCTCTCCAATTTTAATATTAAAATTTCAGAAAAATAACATAAATGTAATAATGCAATAACAAAAGAATATAGATATACTCTTTAAAAAATAAAGAGCTAAATAATTTTTCTAAAAATAATAACCATCCTCAAAAAACTATTTAGTGTAAGTACAATTGAAAATTCCTAGTTAAAAATATTCCATATGAGTACTGTAAATTGGATTCAATTTATTCATCAAGTATAAATTTGTTTATTTCTAAATATTACTCTAAATTATTTGTAAACTTGAAAACATAAAATTGGATAATTAGTTTGTTTTTATTCAAAGTTAATTTTTTACTCATTACCCATTTCAGGGACATTATTTTAATTATGAAAATATAATAAAAGTTAAAAAGAATATACTCATATTTTAAGAATACTTCATAAAAACATGCCCAATAATATTCCCGAAAAAGATTATTATATTAATTTTACATCAGTAAGTATATTCTCCTCCTCCTTCTTCTTCCTTGGCTTAATCCCAACTACTTGGGGTCGGTCACCCTTATCCTAAACTTTCACTTGACACGATCTCCCACATTTTCTACGCTCACATCAACTGTCCTCATATCGCATTCCTTCCATCTCTTTTTTGGTCTTCCTCTATCTCTTCTTCCTTGAACATTCATTCTATAACTGTTTTTACAGCTTCCGATTCTTCTCTTCTCAATAACATGACCAAACCATCTGAGTCTATTTTCTCTCATCTTATATACGATTGATATTACACCTATACTCCCTCTTATATGCTAGTTCCTTATCCTATCTTCTCTAGTCACTCTACTCATCCATCTAAGCATTCTCATCTTTGCTACACTCATTATCTGCTCTATTCTCTTATCAATCACTAAACACTCTGTTGCATACATCATATTTAGTCTCACTACAGTGTTATAGAACTAACTTATCAGCCTAATTGGAATTTTTTTATCGCATAACATACCAGATGATTCTCTTCATTTCACCCACCAGCGCTTAATCCCGTGTCTTACATCCTCGTCAATACCACAGCTCTTTTGCACAACTGACCCCAAATACTTAAAAATTTCCAACTCTCCAATCACATCCTCGCCTATGGTCACTGATCTCCTCATTTCATCTACCTCATGTTCTCCTTTGTCAAACTTTACTCTATATACTCTGTCTTACTCCTATTTATTCTTAAACCCTTTTCTTCAAGAGCTGATCTACACACCTCTAGCCTTTGATTAATTTCCTCCCTATTTTTTCCTATTAACACTATATCATCAGCAAACAACATGCACCACGTCACCTCTACTTCTCTAATAATTTCATCCATCACTATAGAAAATAAGTAAGGGCTTAATACAGAACCTTGATGCACTCCTACTCTTACCCGAAAACCTTNTTAATACAGAACCTTGATGCACTCCTAATCTTACCCGAAAACCTTCTGTTAATCCTCCTACGCTTTTTACCCTGGTACAAGTGCCATCATACATATCTTCTATTATATTATTGTACCTTTTAGGGATTCCTTTTCTCACTAATGCCCACTTTAAAACCTCTCGGTACTCTATCATATGCTTTCTCCAAATCTATAAATACTATACACAGCTTTTTCTTCTTTTTCCTAAACTTTTTAGCTGCTTCACATAAAATACTGGCTCCATCGTTGACTTACCAGCCATAAATCCAAACTGGTTTTTAGATATCGATGTCTCATTTCTTATTCTCTTATTTATTACCTTTTCCCAAATGTTAACACTATGACTCATGAGCTTTATGCCTCTATAATTTATAATTCCTCCATTCATTTAGAATTATCCCTTCTAATAATATTTTATTTAAAAGTTCCTTCAACCACCTTATGCCAACACCTCCTAATATTTTCCATACTTTTACTGGCACTTCATCTGGTCCTAATGCTTTATTCTTTCTATATTCTTTATTTTATTCTTTAGTCTCCCATACCTTTTTCTCACTAATTAAATCTACCAGTCCCTCATTCCACGAGATATCCTCTAATGTCTCTTTTGGATACTCCTCATTCAGTAATTTTGCAAAATATTCTTTCTAAATTTTTTTCACATCATCATCACTTGGAGTAACATCACTAAATATATGATTAAATAAAAAAAAAAAAAAAGGGGGGAAAATTAAACATAATTTTATTGAACATATGTTTATGCTTATTAAACATAAACTCCGAAAGTTTTGTTGAAATTGCGACCATGCTTCTGAGTGAGGTGAACCTCGTTGGTCACCTGTTATGGCATAGGCTAGAAGGTAACTAACCATTAAGGTAAATATCACAACTGCATGATTTATAGAACATAGATTGCTCAATAATACTTAACTTTACTTTTAAAAGATAATTTCAAAGATAAAATGTTTGCTTAAGTCATAGTATTTTTAGCTTCGATACGAAGCTGAAAAGGTATTGGTTTTACTATGATGTGTTTTTTTTTTTTTTGTGTGTGTCTGTTACCACTTTTTCTCAGCTCTCACCGAACCGATTTCTTTCAACGATACGTCAAAAGATCACAAATTGTATCTAGTTGAAGAAATTTCCCTCGTTCCCCGTAAATGGGGGAAAGTACCAAAAAAATAACAAATTTAAAAATCGCTAATTTTCGAAATGTTTTCTACTTTTTTTATTAAAAACTGCCATAACTTTTTCAAAAATGAACATATCAATATATATAATTTTTTTTATAGATGCTTGATGTATTTTTTTTATAAATTTAACCCTTTACCAGCCCACAGGAGGGGATTCAAAATGACAACTTTTTCACAAAAAATTAACTTTTTCAACATAACTTTTAAAAGTGTTCCGGAAATACTGACACTTATATATATATATCTTAAATTAAAGCTAATGTAATGTACTTTATTATGAAAAAAAAAATTTGACCTCTGGACTTGTCTTCGTGGTTAAAATGGCTACCAAATGCTATTATTGTGTGAAATTTTTCGATTTTGTATTTTACATTTTTAACTCTATAATGCTATGACATATTTAAAAGTGTATGGATCAACATTATTTTTTTATGAGAAATAATATTTTTTAATAATCCCTTTTTCATTCGACATACTATATCTTAATCAAAATATTAATAAGGAATTAGTAGATCATGTAGGTTTTTGAATAATACACCAATTTTTTTAAAATTAAACACAATCTAAATATTTGCATTGAAGCGTTTATTTTTGATAGTGATTTTAATCACTGTCAGATATTATTATACTTGATCCAACTATACCATGGCATCACTGTGCCGCGACCCCCCTGTGATAGGTTTTTATATATTAAAAGGAATCAGGATTTTTTGAATTATATTATATTATATGGTTTGGTCATAAAGTATCCTAAAGAAATTTAAAACCACAATTTTCTTATTTAAATTAGTGTAAATTTTGAGCTTTTGGAATAATCCATCAATTTTTTAAATTTAAACACTATCTAAAGATTTGCATCGAAGCGTTTTTTTTTATAGTGATTTTAATCACTGTCAGATATCATTATATTTGATCCACCTATGTTACGTCACCACTGTGTCGCGACCCTCCTGTGCTGGGTTTTTTTTTTATCTTTAGCTATTGCGATAAAAATAAACTTAAACTTTTTATTCACGTAGTAAATACCACCTAATGTCGTGAAATAACCATAATTATATTGTTCTTTGGAATAGGACACTTTTATATATATATCTTAAATTGAAGCTTATGTAATATACTTTAATTTGAAAAAAAAAATTTGACCTCTACACTTGTCTTCACGGCGAAAATGGCTACCGAATGCTATTATTATGTGAAAATTGTCGATTTTATTTTTTACATTTTTAACCTTATAATGCTATGACATATTGAAAAGTGTATGGATCAACACAATTTTTTTATGGGAAATAATATTTTTTAATAATCCGTTTTTCATTCGACATACTTTATCTTAATCAAGATATTAATAAGGAACTAGCAGATCATGTAGGTTTTTGAATAATACACCAATTTTTTTAAAATTAAACACAATCTAAATATTTGCATTGAAGCGTTTATTTTTGATAGTGATTTTAATCACTGTCAGATATTATTATACTTGATCCAACTATACCATGGCATCACTGTGCCGCGACCCCCCTGTGATAGGTTTTTATATATTAAAAGGAATCAGGATTTTTTGAATTATATTATATTATATGGTTTGGTCATAAAGTATCCTAAAGAAATTTAAAACCACAATTTTCTTATTTAAATTAGTGTAAATTAAAATTGACTTACTTGTTGAGTTTTCAGTTCGCCTAAGTACAACAGCCTGAGCAATCCAACGATCTGTAGCAGCTGGAAGTGACATGGCTAACAAATAAGTCCACAATTTTCCTATCAGAGCCATTTTAACATGCCTGGAAATTATTTTTCAATATTTTTTGTTCATACATAAAATCTAAATTACATGAAACAAAACTCTTAAGTAAATTATTTAATGATTAAGTTAGAGAAGTTAGCAAAATCTACATAACTTAGCGATAAGAAATCAAATAATTTTTTTCTATTCTCTTTCGAATATCTTAATACGTATTAATTAAGGCGTGACTTAATTACTTGTGTGTTATAATTATTCAATGATAATTGAACTTTCGAAAGAAATGCTGAAAACTACCTAATGAAACAATTTTTGTATAAAATTAACCAATATTTATTATTGTCTCCTCTTTTTTTACTTCGGCTTTTATCCATTAACTTGAGATCGGCTGGTTGAGATTGGTTTTATTATTTATAAAAATAATTAAAACTTTTTGGTACATTTTCAAAAACAAAAAAATTATTAATGAACAAATAGAGAGTAGTAATTTTTCAATCATTTTAGTTTTATAGGTATAGTTATAAAAACTTGATTTTAATTTCTGCAGGGGCATATTTAAGGGAGAGTAATAGAAGCGATGAACTCCCTAAGCCAGGGCTATCAATATTTTTAAAGTCGATATTTACGAAATATAGATCTAAAGATTTTTTTTTTTTATCATCACTGCTTATTAACAACAAATTTTTAAAGAGCATGTTCACCAAATTAAGAAAAATTAAGTTACCCTAAATCTTTTAAAATGAGATTTGAAACGCCTCTGACGATCTATAATTTCTAAAATTTCTTTTAACGTATTTTTAAAAATTATTTTTGTTTAAAAAAAAATCTTAAATACCATATAAAATGTTTGCTTAAAATAAATTTATAAATATTTATTATTCAAAATATTATTTACATAATAGGGTATAAGTAATAGGCTAGCTATAACTTTTGTCCATTATAGGCTTTTTAGTGACAAATGTAAAATATATTGCGTCAATATATATCTTTTCGTTTGTTAGTATTGTCTTGTTGAAATTATATAAAAGGGACAATAAAAACATATAAATAATTAGTTAAAACTTTAACAATAAAACCTAAATATGATTTAATTGGCAAGCTAAATAGGCATAAGCGACAGTATAAATTTGAGTGAATAAAAAATTAAAAAAAAACCATCACAGTGGGATCGTGCTGGAGACGTGGAGACGTGGCATAGTTAAAATCACTATCATAAAAAATGCTTCCATGCAAAACTGTAGATAGTGTTTAATTTTAAAAAATTGGTAGATTATTCCAAAAGCTTATTTATATCCTAATTACAAGTTTTATGATTTATAAGTGTAACATATGAATAAATATATATATATATAAATATATTATACATTTATAATATATAAATGGCAACGGTATTATTAAGAACAAAAAGTAATTCTAATTAAAGAGGTATATAAATAGTATTTATCATAAAAAAATTACATTCATCCACATATTTTTTAAAAAGTTATAGCGTTATAAAGTTAAAAATATAAAAAACAATTCTTTTACAAAAATCGTATTTTTTTTTATTAACTTTGAATTCCGTTTTCACCATAAAAACAGAATCAAGTCCGAATTTTTTTTTATCCATAGTAAAGTATATTATATAAGCTTTAATTTAAGATTTATATAAAAATTTTAGTATGTCCGGAACACTATCAAAAATTATGTTCAAAAAGTTCTACTTTCTATATGGATTTTTAAGTTTTGGACCCCGTCTGTATTAAGGGAAGTAGTCCGATTAAAAAAAAAAAGAATGTCGAATGAAAGAAGTATATAAGTATTATTTCTCATAAAATAATTGTATTGATCTATACATTTTTCGAAAAGTTATAGAAATATAAAGTGAAAAATTTTAAATATATAATCGAAAATTTTAACACAAAAATAGCACGGTAACCATTTTCACTATGAAGACAAAATTAAATCCGAAATTTTTTTTTTCCATAATAAAGTATATTACATAAAAACATAAACATATATATATAAGTTTCAGTATTTCCAGAACACTATCAAAAGTTATGATAACAATCAAGTGATATACAATGTGTTCAGTAAATAAGGAAACAGGTCAACTGTTACAAACAATGTGAACAGTAGAAACCTGTTTTCTTACTTACTGACACCTCTATTACTTCACGAGTTTTAAATAAAAAAAGTCCAGAGGTTAAATTTTTTGTTTTTTTAATTTATGTATATTACATAAAATTTAATTAATGATACATATAAGACTGACAGTATTTCCAAAACATTATCAAAAGTTAACTTGAAAACGTTGTCATTTTGAATCCCTCCCTGTGGGCTGGTAAATGATCAAATTTATAAAAATATATATATAATAATAGTTAGAGACATCATACATCTATAAAAAAATATTATATTCATTTCATCATTTTTGAAAAAGTTATGGCAGATTTAAGTAAAAAAAATTTTAAAAATTTCGAAAATTACCGATTTTTAAATTTGTAATTTTTTTTGGGGATTTCCCCCATTTACTGGGAACAAGGATAATTTTTTCAATTTTTGAGGATAAAGTCTTTGACTAGATTAGATTTGTGACCTTTTGACGTATCGTTGAAAGAAATTGGTTCGGTGAAAGCTGAGAAAAAGTGGTAACAAACACAAAATAAAAATAAAAAACATCTAGTAAAATTAATACCTTCACAACTTCGAATTGAAGCTAAAAAAAAATCTTGTATTTAATATTATTAATAAATTTTCACAAAAGAATAATTTTTAATTAAAACTTTAAACTAATTGTACAAGAGATTATTATATTCCTAAAGGAAATCCAAATTTAATACTTTACGAAATACTTACTTTAAGTTTGTTTCTTCTTTTATTATTATTTTTTTATGATTTTCACTCCATGTAATCTGTCCAACGTCAACATGATAATGATAATAAAGTCATAGTGCTACAGAGAGTGTACGATTAATGTTATAGTTGGTGAATTATAAAAAAGAAAGAAAAACTGAGCGGTGGTAGTGAAAAAACAGCGGCGGTCTGGTGAACTCGCACACATACCATTTCACACGTATACAAAATGTTAACAAACCATTGTTTACCACTTCATCTTTGTCTATTGTTTTAGTGTCGTTCATTGTACTATCACTCTGATTCCGGATGCGCCATTACCATTCATTGTGAATTGTCAAGCTATTAGAATCATCCCAGGTTATTTTCTGGTGTTAAAGTTTGCAATACTAATTCAGACTTAAAAATTTGATTCGCGATATTACCACAATTTATAAATGTTCATACAGTGATAATATTGTTACATTTTTATTTTTGACCAACAATCCAAAAAGGTGAATTAAATTTTTTTCTGGCCTACAATTTTATCAAAACCCTGTTTCCTTGATGCAAACCTTTAGATTTGTCTTTATGGCGTAAATGGCCGCCGTAAAAATGGTCGAATTTTTATTTTTAACTTTATTGCGTTTCTTTTATCTAACATACATTCTTTGATAATCTGACTCATTCCCATTTTATGGGGCGTTCAACACTTGAAAATTGCGTATAAAAAATAGAACTTTTTCAACTTAACTTTTGAAAATGTCCGGTTAAACCCGACACCTTTAAATATATCTTAATTTAAAAATCATTTAATATATTTTATTTTGAAAAAAAATTGACCTCTGAACTGAAATTCTAGGTGTAATCAAAAATCAAAATTAAATAATAAGTTACAATTTCGTGCCGAAATTGCAAACTTTAGAAAAATTGAATAAATTGTTAGCTCACAACTTATATGAACGGGGCTTTAAAAAATTAGTGTCGACTCTATTTGCATATTAAGAATGAGGAAATTCCCAGATAACACAGAAATATTGCTACAATGTTAAATTAACGTTACAAAAGTAATGTGCAATATTAATAAAACATTTATATTTGATTGTCAGACATTAAATAAACGGTTAAATAATGTTGCATAAATGTTTTGTGAACCAAAAGTTCATTTTTTACATAACGTTGCAACCTTAATATAAAATTAATGTATTAAATTAAACATTAAAAATTAATTTAAATCATTGCACAAATATCCATATAATATTCCAAAATTATGGCTGTTGCCATTTACGAGCATGAAAATGTGCAGTTATTATAACACAAGTATATAATTAAAATATTCGTGACACAATTAATATAAGTAATTTTTAAACGATAATCCAATGATAAATTATAATGAATATATTAGGTGTCTAACCCTTCTTCCCTTTTAGTATCACAATATGTAATATATTATATGTATTTTTCTTTATCTAATCTTATTTCATCAAATCACTGTTTTTGTATAATGGGAAGTGGAGGTTGAATTTATTTTCTTTTGTGGAATGTTACTATAATAATATTACTATAAAAACGTATTATGCAGTGAAAATTATAATTATAGTAATTACTAGAAAAGAACACTTGTTAAGAGACAGTATAAGTTTACACACCAAATATTATTAATCCAAGACAATCAACAGGTTTGCAAAAAGTTAAGATTTTTTTATCAAATAACAATATTAAGCATTTTTATAGCAATAACTCCTTTTATTAAAAGGAGTTATTGCTTACCAAATACAACCTTTCAAATTGGTAACCGGTTAAAACTTTTTTTCCCTTTTTCACTATATGTTTAGCGTTGATAATGATAACATTATTTCCGAAATACGTATCCGCGGTTTATCAGTAATTTTTTGTGGCTTTTGAGTTTAATATTTTTTAGTTTTTTAATTAATAATATTAATAATATAGTTTTAATTTTATTAAATGTTAAAATACTTTATCACTGAATAAATTAGTTATTATTCATTTTAATCTAGTATGCAACAAAAAATCAATAAATTAACTTCTAAACTTTTTTTGAAAAATTATTCATTCATATAAATTAAAAAAAAAAAAATTATTAAGTTAATAATTATTATTATTAAAAAAATAGTATTTCTTAAGCATATCTTATAAAGAACAACCAACCCAAAAATCCAGATTTAAAAAAAATATAATGTTAAATAATGAAAAAATCATTTGCAGTCAGTAGTATAAGTATAATAGTTTTTTTTTTATGATTATACTGTAGGTTTTGTCAACGATATTTCAATAGATACAACTTCAATAGAATGACATATTTGGTTGGATTTCTCATAAACTTGAGCCAACTCCATTCAAAACTGTTAATGAACAAATCAAATGAAAGTTACTAGAATAAAAATTTATGCATTTATAAAATTTGTTTGGACTACTTCTGAGACCCAACTATGTGAAAATTAATCATAGCATAACTTCCCCATAACTAAAATACACATTATAAGCTGAACTACTACATTAAAATAACATAAAATAACTTAAAGTCTCGTTCATTAATTTTTTAGTTTTTACTTATTGAATGTATTTAAAAATGCATTCTCAGTAATGAATTTTTATTTTAGTATAGTTAAAAAATATGAAACAATTCATTAATTCTCAATTAAGAAAAAGTCCTATTCCTAATTTTGAATATTTACAGATATCTGTAAATATTGTAAGTTATATATCCATGAAAGCTTTAATACATTCATAATCATAATGTAGTTTTATCAAATATTATAATTTGTAAATACATTAAGAATCTAATTGTGTATTTAAATTCTGTTATATATTTGTTATAACAGATACTTGTTTCTTTATTTTAAAAGCTTTTAGTAATTTTGTACGAAGGTTATTTCAAAATTAATTTTCAAAAGGAGAAATAGAAAAATAAATAAATTTCATAAAGCAGTTTCATTATCAAATATATTTTTTTTGCAGCTCTATATATAGTTTGTAATGTGGGATTGTATAACCACCCCTCCCCCAAAATATAACGCTGTTGATGTTTTAGACCTTTGATTTTTTTCAGTTCATAAGTTCTTTATTATTTGTAAAATTTTGAATGCAATGGACGAATTCATTTTTGAATCATGTAAAAAAAAAAGAAATTATATCCTGTCTTCATTTTTACTAGGTCATTGAAATCAAATAATTTATCATAATATTCAGGTTAGTTGTGTGAAAATTGTAGCATGACCAAATACTTACAACGGTAAAACTATAATAGCCATCAACATACAGAAGGCACACGTGTTCTAGACTTACGCCGTCATACAGAATATACTAAGTATCACTGTGTGACCGGTTTCGCGCTAATTATCAGACTGTTTGCATTTAGTTTATTTTTAATTAGTGTTAAATTTAATGTATATTTCGAGAACCTTGTGGTTATCCATATAGTGTAAATAAAATTACTAAATGTTCGATTAATCCATGCAAAAACAACAGTAAGTTTACGCGATGTGATGCGCAAGGCTTCGACGTTGTTTATTAGACCGTGGAGTTGAATTTCTTCATATTATTCAATACAATAAAATTTAATTTTTCGTGACAGATCTTGTGGGGCAACACCATGATAATTTTGATAACCGTAAAATGGGTCCTAATTAGTGGGGTTACTTTTTATAATACGTATTATTTTTACTTAAGGTTTATAGTTATCGTTAACAAATGGATATGTAGTAACATTATACACCTAATTTAACTTTCCTTAATTAACATGCCTCCATACATGTTGTATCATATAATGACGTACTTCAATAACATATTTGTATAATTTATTTCAATTTTTTTCAATTTAAATAATTTATTTACTTTTTCATTCACTAATTTATATTATTTAGTATGTAAATAGATTACTGGGCCTCGTTGAGAAAACTCGTATGGAGCCTCAGGGTTATCTCCATAAATTTTATAATAAATTAAATGTATAGAAAATAATATTAAAAACAAAATTACTATTAACTTACTGAACATTTTCACAAAATGCGATAAAATAACAGCGCAGTACCGTATTGACAGAGGTGCCAAAAATATCTTATTTATTTATATATTGAATATTTAAACGTGCAAAACAACCTTTTATATTTTATTTATAATAACACACAAACAATTTAACTAAAATGTATAAACACATATGAATCTCTATATTTTGGAGAATAAAATTTTAAATAAACTTAAAATAGATCTTGGAGTCCAAAAATTATTTTAATAAATATATTGATATCTTAAATAATAATAACTTAGTCTTATATTAAGTATTTTTATTAAAATATTTTATTATTTAAAAAAAGTTAAATTTTTAAAATTTAATTAGTTCAACTTGTAAATTTTAATTTGACATTATTAAATAGAAATTTTTATAAGAATTTTATATTTTTAAATTTATTATTAATCGATATAAGGCCAGGAACTTATGAGACAAGTTCAAAATTCTGTTAATATTAAAATTTTTTTACGTTAATATTATAACATAGTATTTCAATAGATCATAGTAGTCATTTCTATGTAACTCTCGGAGTTTAAAAACAAATTATATTCAGATATGAATTAATTTGTAATTATTTAACTTGGTATTATAAAAACATCTTCTAGCTATTCTAGTTTTTATTTTCGATGCGAAGCTGAGAAAGTTGGATTTGTTTTTATTGTAGTGTGTTGTTTTTTGTCTGTCCATAAAAATGTTCACTGACCAAATAGAGTACACTGGATATTATAAGCTCTCTTTTGGTGAAAATCTGATGAGAAATCTAAGTACAGGAAAGGTTTAAACGTGATCACTTATATAAAATATGTTTTTCAATTCGATTTTTAAAAATGAACAGCAATGTCTGACTACTTTTAACCTATACCAAATTAAAGCTTTTGAAGTGTACTTCAATATTAAAAAAACATTTTTCCGTTGATATTCTTCTATGATATACCGTCAAAATAAAAAAATATATCACTAAAAAAACATGATTTTCATTTAAGCAAAAAATTTAACAATAATTTATTATTTGAGTGAAATATCAAAACATAGATATTATGAAATTTCAAATGTATATATTACTGTGAAATTTAACAGATTCACATTAAAGTGCTTTTTATGATTTTGATGTAAATCACTATCATATATCAACTATATTCGTCCAAATTATGCTGCGTCTCCACTATAACACGACCTTACCGTGCTGCGTCTTTTTTCATTTATTTATAACTGATGTAATTACACGCAAATTATTCCTAAAGTTTTCTTTTCAACACTTGCCTGTATGATTGGTGTCAATGATTCCACATTGAAGTATTACTTTTTGTATAATTGATTTATGTCACATATACACATGCACGTAACAAACAAGTAAATTTTATTTTTCCTAAAATATTTGTGGGACAAAATAGAAATAGGAACAAAAAGTGTATCCCTTTATCATAATGTAACGTACAAGAATTAATTATATGCTTTTATGTATTTTTATCATTTAATGATTGCGCTAAATGAGCACTTATTTTGACGAAAATTTCTTCAAAATAATTTTGTTTTTATTATAAAAACAAAAACCGTCTTATTGTAGAAAATAATATTTTACGAAATATTTATGGCAATATAAACATAAGAATAATTATCTTTCTTGCTAATAGGGATTCAGTCACAACTAACGCTCTTTTGACTTAAATACAATATTTTGTGTTACTCCTTATAAATGTCTGACTAAAATATTTTTTTTATTTTGAAATGATGCGTTAGAAATACTGATGAAAAATTCAATATAATCACATTTTTGTTAATACAGCGACTTAAACCTTTTTAACATTAAGTGATTTAAACGTAAATATAAAAATAATGTGTATAAATTGCTTTGTAAATATTTAATTTAACTCAATTTCAATACACTCATTTTTCAAAAAAATCATTTTATTACACTAAGGAACACGTGTTAAAATTTTGTATGAATTGAAATTTATTTAGTTATTCTTCAATCATCTTGTTTCACTATCTTTATTCAATCAACTTATAATAAACTTTTTTTGATTATAATTGTATATTGATTATAAATTTAATTATCTTTGTCTAAAAATATATTAGTTATATTATTAATTATATTTTACTTAATTTAACTTGTAAATTTTGTATAATATAATTTAAAGATTTGAAATGGTATACATAAAACAAGGGCACCCTATGAACCCCTGAATGATTTTTATTTTACTATGTTTTAAACTTAAAAAAATGAAAAATAATACAAACAGCGTTATTAGCAAATTTTGAGTTTTTTTTACTTTATTTCTATTAAATTATTGTGTGACAATCCCAAAAAAAAATGATTCAGTTTTTTTATTATAATTTTATTTTTTAGGCTAGAGTTATGAGTTATGTTTTGAGGAGATAGGAATCGGAAGCGATAAGAACAGTTACAGAAATGAATGTTGCAGGAAGAAGAGGTAGAGGAAGACCAAAAAAGAGATGGAGGGATGTAATTGAATACTATATGAGGACAGCTGATGTGAGCGTAGATGATGTGGGTGATCGTGCCAAGTGGAAGTTTAGGATAAGGGTGGCCGACCCCAAGTAGTTGGAATTATGTCAAGGAAAAAGAAAATTTTTTAGGCTAAAGTTATTTTTCAATAATAACTTTAAACTATAGTTATCACTCTTGTAAAATATTCAAATAAAAGTATTTTAATACTTTTTCAGTATTCTGATTTCTTAAAATATATGTATTTTAAATAATTTTATTTTGATTTTATATTTATATACATGTATAATACACGAGATAACACAAATACAGGTAGCATTTATTTGCAATGGTAGTAAGGCACATTATTGTGAGTTTATAAATACACCAAATGACATTACAGAAAGTATATCTATTGATAGTCATAATTGATAATAAAAACACTCCATGATTGTGATAGCGACGTCATAAAAAACCAATTAGCTATTTGTGTTTGTAATCTTTCAAATATTATACATGTATATTAATTAAAAAATTTGAAACTTAAAAATTTTATACCTAACAAACGAATTGAGTTATAATAAAAATTCAAATTCTATTTACTATTAAATTAAAGCTCAAACATTTTATTAAATTCAAAATGTGTGTTCTCATTAAAAAAAACCAAAATGAGAACCTTACAAAGCAAAGGATTAAAGATTAAAGAAGTTTTACAGAGCTAATAATTCAATAATAATACGTAATTAAAAGTAACCAATAAATAAAAAATGTTTAAATTATTTTTAGTCTGTAAATAATTCAGTGGGTATGATAAAAAAAATCACTCTGTATTTATACTACATATACATTTTAGTTTATTTATTTCTTGTATTATAAACAACATAATCCTTCAATAATAATATTTAGTCTGGTACTGTTTGTTGCTGAATTGTCCTAGCGTGGAATTGTCGTATAATAAATAGATTTAATTTATTATAAATTTTGTTAAGTTTTTTTTCCATTTTTTTTTAATAACCATTGGTTTATAAAACTGGTAAACATTCAAACAGGCTTATAACATTTATATTTCATATAACTTATTATATTCTATTAAGAAGACTATATTTTTTTTAATTTTCTCGAACTATTTGAATCATTTTTCAAGTATTCAAAAACATATAATTAACATATAAATAAAAATTCTGAATACCTTGTCAACCATTTTTCGAATACGTATTTTAAATATAAAAAAAATTATTTTTTATACGACTGGTAATTATTATACAAGAAATTATTTTCAGCGCTATGTAAAATAGGCTCTTTTTAGATAACATAAAAAAAAAAAAAAGTTGATGTATTTTTAAATTTAATGTGTTTTTTAAATATATGTTTAAACCATTTATGCTTCGTACCGAAGCTAAAAAAACTGAGTGATTTTGAAACGTATCACAATTGAATGTAATATAAATTTCTTAATAAGTTTACATGGCTTGTTTTTTTCATAATTCGTGTATTAATTATTTACAATAATTAAAATAGTATAAAATAGTATACATATCTACGACGTGTAAATCGTAGGTACAAAAAATTTAGAAAGTCATCATTGACAATAATAATAATTATGATGTAAAAACGTATAGATATAAGAATAATAAAAACGAATATTAATATTATTATAAATTAAGTCTAAATGGTAGTGTGAGCGGTTTTTTATTCATAACCACTAAAAGTCTGTATCATAATCGGCTGCAGTTTGGTATGGCGGTTTTCTAGTACCATCATACCTTTGAGCTTGGTGGTGATGATAAGGATCCGACCGATAGTATCTAGAGTTTGGCCCGGCATCGTATCCGTATGCAGGTGGTGGTGGTGGAGCAACAGTCATTGGAGGCGCAACAACTGATCTCCAACTGTCGTATCCTCCATTTCCTCCACCGTAACCTCCTCCACGATACTTTATAAAAATGTTTATAAATTATTTTTTAATATAAATATTTTAATTCCTAACCTAATTTATTACTTAATATAAAAGGGATCTTATTGCCACCTGATGTGAAAAACCTCCTCTATTTTTTAAAAGTGAAATATGTATGTAATTTAATATATAAATAGCGTCCTTTTTTTAATTCTGTGATATAACTTTTTAATTCCATATTGCGCACATAAGAGGTTTTTCACATCAAAATCGATAAGTTAATTATTAAATTTGTAAATATTATACAGGATTCTTACTTTCTTTTGTGACGTCACCGGTTCCCAGCCACGTTGGTTGGTTTCGTCATCGTCTAAAAGATCTTCGGCATCTAATGTTACAGTATCACCATCGTCAAAGTCATCATATCCGTAGTTGTAAGGAGGCGGGCGATGTTGAGGAGCTGGTAGTGGTGCTGGAGCTCTTCCAGCTGTTTTACCAGTACCAACATAGCCACTGTTCATATTACCGGGATGTCTCCATCCATCGTCATCAACCTGTTTTTTGACTGTGTTTCGGCGGTTTCTACGACGTACCAACTATAAAAATATGACAGAGTGATCAGACGTAACTACAAGTGTTTAATGTACGACAGAATACATAAAAATGTTGAAAATCGTTGTACCTACCAAAGTTACTCCGACGTATACTAATGCAGATAGTCCAATGGCTAGAGCACCTACAACAGCCACAGCGGCCGCCCATTGTGGAAGCCAAGACGCTGCTACTTCTTCGTCAATTTCATTGATTCCATTGCCTACAGAACCTCCAAAACCGCTACCCGGTGGTAACACTGCAATTAGTAGACAAATAATAACATCAATAAGGGTAACATAATAAGTCAAGTACAGAATGTTTGATTAATCATTGACCACTAGAATTATTTCCAAAAATAAACTTTTTTTAGCTTTCTTTAGTAGTATTGATTTCTACATTTACATCTTCTTAGTGTGATTACTTATCCTTTTTAGGGTTATGAAGTTTATTTTTTGTTAATAAAAATATACATTTTAACGATCATGAAGGTAGAAAATTATTCAATTATGGAAAAAAAACTTTTAAATCAACATTTCAGAAATGTTTTTGTACCTTGACGGGATAAATAGTATAACAAAATAATGCGTAAGGATAATATAAAATAATAATATTTTATGCTAATTCAGATAGTCCAATGGCTAGAGCACCTACAATAGCCACAGCGGCAGCCAAGACGCTAATACTTCTTCGTCCATTTCATAGTAATGAAATTTTAATTTCAAAATAATATAACCCATACGTCATTTATAGTCTTTATTTTTTAATGTCTTTATTTAATTTAATCAAATTTAACTTAATAATGAATAACTTAATTTTATCTTTATAAATCGAGGAATTAGTACTATTAAACATAACTAGAAAAAAATTACTCCCAATTATTAATATTTTAAGAGAATGAAAATTCAATGATTAATCAATCACTCTGTACACTTTGTAATATAATATTACTTATATTATACGTGTATACATTCTTATACAGAAAGGGCTACTATGTTTTGGTAAGTGATCATAACAAAGTTATAGAATTTATTATAACATAGAGGACCATTTTATTTATAAATTATAAAATTCACCTATAAAGTCTGTCCTTGCTGGATCAACAACATATGTTCCTAGTTTCAGAGAATCGGTTTTTTCTTCACTAGTCTCCAAAGCTTCATTCAACATACGTCTTAATTCAGTTGTACTTACATCAGTTCTACCACCCGTATCCAGTCTAACAAAATAGTCCACCAATACGCTGCCATCTTCATTATTGCCACCAGGGCTAAGAAAACAGAAATGTGATATGAAATATTGATAATAATGTACGAAAATAGTAGCGTATTAAGAGATCTATCGATCTAACATGACTCAAATTAGCAAAGCTGATATAATTAAAAAAAAAAAAATTTGAGCAAAAAAAATTAAATATATTCATAGTCATTTTTCCATTTCAGATTTTCTTCCTTTTCCTTTTATAATACACTTTTAAATATTGTTCTTATATGACTCTAAATAATTTTCTGTTAATTATAGTTTTAAGCATGAATATACCTAAAAGAATCGACAGTCACTCCATTCCGACGGTACCAACGACTCAAGGTAGGCGATGCTGCGTACACTTTATCTAACTGCAATATTAAAAAATCATATAACTTTAATCATTAATATATATTTAATATATAATATGAATGAAGTGAATCGGGGGACCTTGTTTAGTTGAAATCGCTAAAATTTTTAAAAACTGTTAGCAGGGTGACTTCATCAATGATAAAACATTTAAAAGCTATTTAACTTTTAAACTTTGCTATTAGAATAACTTAAATAATAATGTAAAAATATTTATAATTATAAGATATAAATTTAATATTAAATGTTCATAATTGGAATTTTCCAATAATTAAGATATTATCAGTTAACGATATTGTATTAAAAATTGTAATATTGTAGTTGGACATAACTCAAATATTTTCTTTGATATAAAAACTAAAGGCAACATATTATTAAAATTGATTAAAGAATTTTTTAGTTAAAAACTCTATGGTGATCATTCATTGGTGATGTTACCCTGATTAAATTGACTGTATTAAGATAATTAAATGTTCTTTTTTTATATTATAATAACTTCAGGATGAAATAAAAATTAATGATTGAAATAATAATAAACTAACAAAGATCAGAATAATCTAATTAAAAATGTTGACTTTCCTCTTTTTGATAAATCTATACATTTTTGATACACATTCGCCATGGATGTAATATATGTAAAATATATAACTATTTTATATTTTTTTATAATTTCTCCGTGAAAATTACAATACAAAATATTGAATACGATTTTCAAACAAAATTTAAAATCTATATGTATTTTATTCAAGTATTATATTTATAAATCATAAAACTAGTAATTAGGAAATAGGAGAAATAGGAGATATAGTTTTTGAAAAAAGTAAAGTAAAATGTAATTATTATAAAAACAATTAACAATTTTAAAATAAAAATGGTACGATTTTTATTTTAGTAGTTTTTTATTCTTAGTTTTTAGAACTTTTTTATTTGTCTTAAGCATAAATATTAGTTTGAGAGAAGAAATTTATTACACGTCGCGACGCGTCGTTAAGTTTCGATCTTTCTCATAAGCTTATTATTAGATTTACAAAAATTAAGTAGAAAAAAAATTAATCATCCATAATTATTGTCATAAAAATATTTTTTTTTTTATCTGCGCATTTTTGGGGAAAAAACATTAATAACTGAATTAAAAGTTTTATTAATAACTATAAAAAAAAGCTATTTTTAAATATTTTATTCTATTGTGAAAGTTAACGGGAATTTTTCTAAATTTTATCTAGATATTATTTTTTATTTATAATTCAACAACATCGGTATACTAAAATCTGAGTGACAAGGATACAAATAAAAAAAACATATAGCAGTATAATTAATACGTTCAAATATTTGTGTTGATAGTATATATAAAAGTTTATGACTACTATACTTTTCAGGAGAAAAAGATACGCATACCTGTGATTCAATATCTCGCGCTAAACGTCTCCAACCAGACGCGTTATGGTCCCACAAATCTGATGACCATTGAGCTCCAGAATTTAGTTTTAATGTACCGACCAGTTCACACCCAGTCTTTCCGTTTGTGGCGTCCTCTCTACCACAAACACCAGGTGTCGTTGTTTGTGGTTGCGGTGTCGTAGTTGTAGTTGTGGTAGTAGTGGTCGTCGTTGTAGTTGCTGCGGTAGAAGTGGAGGTAATAATTCCTGCGTTGGTGCTAGTTTCTTCTGTTGTCGGCGGAGAAGGCCAACCCGCAAATTCGGTAGTTGCTCTACAATAGAGATAGCACACAAATTTATTTTTAATATTAACTAAATATTAATAATTATAATAAAGCAATGTATTTGAAAATATTATTGTCGATAAAAAAAAAAACCCAGCACAGGGGGGTCGCGGCACAGTGGTGACGTGGCATAGTTGGATCAAGTATAATGATATCTGACAGTGATTAAAATCACTATCAAAAAAAAACGCTTCGATGCAAATCTTTAGATAGTGTTTAATTTTAAAAAATTGGTGGATTATTCCAAAAGCTTCATAAACTGCTAGTTCCTTATTAATATCCTGATTAAGACAAAGTATGTAGAATAAAAAAGAGATTATTAGAAAATAGTATTTCCCATAAAAAAATTATATTGATCAATACACTTTTCAATAAGTTATAGCATTATAATGTTAAAAATGTAAAAAATAAAATTGAGAATTTTCACACAATAATAGCATTTGGTAGCCATTTTCACCTTGAAGATAAAATAAAGTCCGAAATTTTTTTTTTCCATGATAAAGTATATTACATTAGCTTTAATTTAAGATATATATAAAAGTGTCAGACTTTCCGGAACACTTTCAAAATTTAAGTTGAAAAAGTCAATTTTTTGTGAAAAAGTTGTCATTTTGAATCCCCCCCTGTAGGCAGGTAAAAAGTCAGATTTATAAAAAAAATATACCAAATGATAGGTAAAGACATCATGCATCTACAAAAAAAAGAATTATATTGATCCATACATCTTTCGAGAAGTTATAGCATTATAAAGTTAAAAATATAAAAAAGAATTTTTTTACAAAAATCGTATTTTTTTTATTAAGTTTAATGTCTGTTTTCACCATGAAGATAAAATAAAGTCCGAAATTTTTTTTTTCCATAATAAAGTATATTACATTAGCTTTAATTTAAGATATATATAAAAGTGTCAGACTTTCCGGAACACTTTCAAAATTTAAGTTGAAAAAGTCAATTTTTTGTGAAAAAGTTGTCATTTTGAATCCCCCCCTGTAGGCAGGTAAAAAGTCAGATTTATAAAAAAAATATACCAAATGATAGGTAAAGACATCATGCATCTACAAAAAAAAGAATTATATTGATCCATACATCTTTCGAGAAGTTATAGCATTATAAAGTTAAAAATATAAAAAAGAATTTTTTTACAAAAATCGTATTTTTTTTATTAAGTTTAATGTCTGTTTTCACCATGAAGATAAAATAAAGTCCGAAATTTTTTTTTACCATAATAAAGTATATTACATTAGCTTTAATTTAAGATATATATAAAAGTGTCAGACCTTCCGGAACATTTTCAAAATTTAAGTTAAAAAAATTAATTTTTTGTGAAAAAGTTGTCATTTTAAATCCCCCCTTGTGGGCAGGTTAAGGGTTAAATTTATGAAAAAAATATACCAAATGAAAGGTAATGATATTATGCATCTATATAAAAAAGAATTATATTGATATGTTCATTTTTGAAAAAGTTATGGCACTTTTAAGTAAAAAAAATTGAAAAAATTTCGAAAATTAGCGATTTTTAAATTTGTAATTTTTTTGGAGGTTTCCCCCTTTTACGGGGAACGAGGGAATTTTTTTCAATTTTTAAGGGTAATGTCTTCGACTAGATACGATTTGTGATCTTTTGACGTATCGTTGAAAGAAATCGGTTCGGTGAGAGCTGAGAAAAAGTGGTAACAGACACAAAAAAAAAAAAAAAAAAAAAAAAAACACATCTTAGTAAAACCAATACCTTCTCAGCTTCGCATCGAAGCTAAAATGAGATTGTGTTATTTTAGCTTTTTTTGATATTTGCAAATATGGATTTTGAAAATAATGTATATAAAATAATTATCTGAAATTCTATAAATTACAAGGTGTAACTCACAATTGTCTAAGTTTTATTTTTGTTAGTTTATTATGCTTATTCTAAGTAAATCTAATCTATGACATTTTATTTTTTTTTAACCAAGATAATTATAATAATTAAAAAAAAAATAAAACACTCAAATTAAAAAATTTGTAATTCATTTAAATTTAAATTTACTATTATCATTTTATATTATAGTATACATTTACCTGACTGGCCATCCTTTTTGTATAGCAACTGTTGCTAGAGCTGGCGCACCATGTTTTTTAGGAGGTGGTAATGGTTTTCTATTACCAGTTCCACCACCTGGGAATACTAAACCATTATTTACAACACTTGTTGTAGATTCTATAACTGTTGTAGTCGTCGAAGGTGTAGTGGATGTCGTAGTGGTGTTTCCATTATCTAAATTTTCTTCAGGTGTCTCATCAGCAGGTGGCTTATAATCCGGTGGTAATAAGCCTGGTGGCAAAGCTTCAGCGATATCTACAAATTTAATCTTGAGTGGTTTTTTCACTTCAGTCTCATTCGAATTAGTTACATCAGCATTAGTTGTAGAGGTAGTTGATAGAGGCGTAGTACTTGTAGAAGTAGTTGATGAAGGCGTAGTACTAGTAGAAGTAGTTGAAGCTTTTGATCTATAAGATGGTGCTGGACGTGCATTAAATCCAGCAGGTAAAAGACCAGCCGATAATGGTTCCTCGTTGAACACGATAGAATCGAGAAGACTCTTCTTTTTAGCAGGTTTAGCTGTTGTACTTGTTGTGGTCATTCGTTGCTTAGATGGTACAAATTTGCGAACAAATTTGGGCGTGTCATCATCACTTTCATCATCATTTTCGTCTTCATCTTCATCTTCATTCTCTTTTCGAGTGGTACTTTTAGGAGGTGGTAAAGTAGTGGTGGTAGGACTACTGGTTGTAGAACTCACAGTGGTAGTAGTAGGAATGGTAGTTGTGGTATAGTTGGTAATTTTAGTTATAGTAGTAGGAATGGCAGTAGAATTTAAAGAAGTTGTAGTCGAGACCACTATGGTGCTTTCTTCGGAAGTCTGTTTTTGTTGTGGATATAATTGGTTCAAAAGGATACCATCTGCTAATCCAGATTGTACTCTATCCAATTTATCCACAATACTCTCTGCAGTGGCAGTATTCATAGTTGTCGTTGCCGGTGAAGTTTTTGGCACTGCCAAAGATACCGATGAACGACTTGACTGTACTTGTACTGATACAGACGTTTTACGAGGACTCTCCGTGGATGATGGTACACCATTTAATTTTTTTCTATCAACCAATGACTGAGGTGTTTGTGGTTGTGATTTATTAGGGAGTTCAATTTTTTTGGTAGTTGGACGAATGGTGGTGGGAATAATATTACGAATTGTGGTACTGCTTGGACCAGCAAGAGATTGTTTGTCCAAATCTTCATCCACTTCATAAATGTACTCGTAGTCATCATCTGCAGACACCGGGACAGTTCGGGTAGTTGAAGTGGTAGTTGATGAAGGTCTGTTAGTTGACGAGACATGATTTAGCACATTACGTGCACGTGAGGGACGTAACGTAGTCACTGGAGGTGGAGTTGTAGGGAGATGACGAGGAGGTTGTTGAAGACGCGAAGATGGTTTTTGAGGAAATGATTCGACAGAAGTTGCTGTCGGGTTTATTTTACCAGATCTAAATGACTGGGAAGAGGCAGTGGTAAATCGATGTGCTACTGGTGGATTAAAAGTTGTAGGTTTCCAATCAGTAATTGTAGTGGGAAGCGTTGAAGTAGCTGAATTTCTCCATGATTGCACTGGTCGACGAGTGGTAATTGCTGGTAAAGAAGGGTCGTCATGCCTAACAAGAGCTGTAAACCCAACTAAAGGTTGCCTTCCAGGTTGTTCGGCTGACTGATTTTCTGCAAGTTCCTCACTACCTGATGATGGCGACCATCGCCATCCAGTGACAGAGGGTTGTTGTACTGATGATGGACGAAGAAATGTATTAGGTTGCTGCTGTTGAAACTGTTGTTGCTCTTCGGGGAAAAATCTCTCGAATTGTTGCAGTCTCTGTTGTCTTTGTGGGTCTTCTTGACGCTGTCTTTGTTTGAATGGAGAAGATACGGTTGACACTGGCAGTTGTTCAGGTTGGTCTTGTAACAAAAACTGCTGCCGGAAAGGTCCCGAGTTTGTAACAAATGTCTGTGGTGAATGAGAAAAGAAAGAAGACGAATCATCTGTAAAATCTTCACTAGACCCAGAATTCCATGAACCTCCAACTACCCTTTGTCGCTGGGCTGCAAAAAAAAAGCCGTCATTATAAAATTTATCTTAGATCCATTCAAAGTTAACTTCAATTGTTACATAAAGTATGAACAGAACTTCAATTACACAGCTCAACAAAATTTGTAATTTTTATGAAATGTTTATATTAATTCCGATAGGTGGTTATTTAACACTGATTACCCTTAGTTATATATCTTTAGTTATTTTTTACCATCAATACTCTAGATTCAATTTGATTATTTGTAAAATAATCATTTTTTTTTCATAAAATGTTATTATTAAAAAAAAGAATAAAATCAAATTTTGAAATTTTCAACTATATAATTAATTATAGTAATATAAACATTGAAAATTGTCTAATTTTTACATAATACACATAGTAGATCAAGATATCACCTCAATAGAAGGAAAGATACCAAGAAACTTATGATGGGTGAATAAATATGTATAGACTTTAATTAGAAATAAAAATATGAAAATAAAAAAAGAAGTTTAAATGGCTATTTTTAAAATAATTTATGTGAAGTATTTATATATTTTTATCTAATTTTATGTTAAAAAAAGACTTTTAATGTTTTTTTTAACTATGTTGAATGAAATGGTCGAAAATTTCCAAATATAGTTATACCATAGAATTAAAAATACTTAGGTCTGCAATTTTTTTCAACCATATTTAACTATATTTTTTATGTTAAAGAAATTAAATAAAAAAAATATACATAATAAAAATTTGTTTACCTATTAAATTTTTTTGAGCTACAATGCAAAGCTGAAAAGGTATTAATTATATTATGCGTTTTTTTTTTAATATATGTTAAATTAAAGCTTATGTTACGTACTGTAAATTAAAAAAAGAAATTTTTCTTGAGGACCTATTTTTTATGTGCAAATGGCAATCAAAATTGAACACAAAATAGGAATTAATTTCGCTTTTGGAATAATTCACCAATTTCTTAAAATTAAACATTTGCTACAGATTTGCATTGAAGCGTTTCTTATGATAGTGATTTTAATCACTGTCAGATTTCATCTATACTTGTCCCAACTATGTCACTTTTACACTTTGCTAGATATCGTCTATATTTGTCTCAACTATGCTACGTTCACGTTGTGCAGGGACCCCACTGTGCTAACGTTTTTTATTAATATTATTCAATGCAAACTTTCGCCGAAAAAGCATGAATAACTAAAATATAAAGAACAGTTTAAAATTAACTTTTTTTTATATGCTGAAAAACTCAACTTAGAAGTCCATATCAAAGGAAAAATTAACGGAATGATTTAAAAATTGTAAAAATTATCACTTTAAATAAAACTAAATAATAATGAAAAAAATAATTTTATGTAATAAATCTGTAATTTTACAAAGATTCAAAATGTGGCTAAAATATTGAAAGTAGAAGATAACTAAGGACATGCTCGGAATCAATGTCAAAAAATCTATCAGAAACAATAAAAATATATTAATAAACATTCCATGGCCCAAATTTTGTCAAGCTATACCATTTATACATTAATTAATGAGAAAATCCATGGATAGAATATTTTTTTTTTAATTTGAAGTTGAGTTATGGTTAATTTAGTATGTATATCCACACTATGTCATAAATTTGTATATCCATAACTATACTGTTTATTATATTGTTTTGTTTAAGATAGATTTAAAAATTTAACTCTTATAAATTTCAAACCTTTATAATGACAAATACTAAATGATAAATGAAAAACTTTCTTAAATCTCGATTTTTAGGAGTTATTAGACATTAAAGCCAAGAATCAAACAATTTTTGAGAAAAATAGATAATTTGGAAATGTTTAGTTTAGGAACTGAATAGTGTGCCATAAGAAAGGAAACAGTTTTCTATTATTTACTGATCTGTTTCCTTACTTACTGAAAATTTTTTTTTCGATTTAAATTGAAACGTTACAAATTAAGTGATATCCTCCTCTTCGAACAACTAGTTGTTTTAAAACAGAATAAAATTTATTTTTAAAGTTAGGGTTACATAATAACTTATTCATCTGTAATAAATACTATCTGTCCCGACCACGTTTCGCTGTGACTTAATTATTATACGATTAATATTATTTTCAATTATGTAACATAACTATGCAAATATTTATAAAATTTATGAATCTGAGTTATCGGAGATTATCATTGAATACAATTTTTAACACTTAGCAATGAAGAATGACCCGAAATTTTTTTTTTGATTTTATACATTATTTATCTGAAATTCAATTACAAAAAAACAAAAAATTAATAAGTAATATCCAAATTTTATATTGCTTACATTTATATAAATTAAAATGAATCAATGAGGTATCAAAGGATGATTTTCCAAACAATTATGTTACTACTAAAATTTAATTAAGGGCTATTTGATGCACAATAGTTTTAGTTAACCTGTCTTTTGCTAATATGAATAAATTTGACGGTTTACTAACACGTGAGCATGCAACATATAATTGACCATGGGAGAAACATAGATTTTCTAAATGTAAGTCGCAAATGCACATTGTTTAGTCTTGAGATTTGTTAATGGTCATAGCGAATGCTAATCAAACAGGGAATTGAAGTCATTTGAATGATATTGTGGTATCTAGCGGAATGATTGGGATACGTGGCGACAGAACAACTTTTCCTTCAAATCTCCCTGTCAAAATGGTTGCTTCAATAACATTTCCGGTGATTCTTTTGATGACCAAACGTGTACCAATGCAAAGTCTGGGTGGATTCAAATTACGTAGTAGATTAATCGGTGATCCAATTTTTATCCAAAGATTGTGTGGTGGCATTCCTGGTATATCCAGGGAATTTAACATTTCTGTTGGGTAATCTACAGTTTCGTCTTCATCAACAACACTATCGATCAACTTAAACGTCATCAGATCACCCAATAAGAACTGCTGTATCTGGAAGTTAATTTCATTAACATCAACATTTTTGGCGGCTAAAATTGCACTCTCACTAAGCCAATCGTAATTTAAGTAATTATTCAGTAGCCGGGAAAACCTTTTCGATCAATTCTGATTTTGTCTCGACTAATGTGCAGAAGTTATCTGGCAATTTAATGCATTATGTATTTAGATGCAGTCCTATTCTACCATTGCCAATATCCATCAATTGTTCGTAAAATATTTGTGCTGATGGATCGCAATTACACTCGCATGTTATAGTTTTGAGAAGTGTTACAATTATTGAAAGAAAACACATATAGACAGGCGCCATCTGTTGGACGCTTACATTACTTTAATAATGAAAATTAATAAAATATAAAGTTTCATACCGCCATCTATAAGAAATTAATAGCAATTGACTATTACGAATATAATTTTCAATAAAAGATAACTGAGGCTATTAATCAAGATAAAACTATCCTATTGTCTAAGTTGGACCCAATTACAGATGAAATTTCATCAAAATCGGTTCAGTAGTTTCGATGTTCATTGCGAACAAACATAGTGACATGAGATTTTTATATATAAAGATTACGTTATTTATATATTTGTGTATTATTTTTTATTTTATAGAACTTCTATATACAGAGTGATCGATTTGTAATAAACTACTCGATTACTCTCAAAATAAATATAATATTGAAAAAAAAGTTTTGGATTTATTTTAGTTAGATATATTTCTTAATATATCAGCTAATAATTACTTTTTATAATCATTCCTTATAACTTAAAAAGTTGTCAACATTATTTTTTTAAATGTTATAATACATATTTAATTAACTTATAAAATAGAAAATTATCTAATAAAGTATATGACTGGTTGGGTTTGTGATCTAACATGACCAGTACTTCGGAATAACTTCCAAAGTACTAATCCAAAAGTTTTTATCAAGTCATGACTAGTCATTTTCTTAATTAGATTATTTCCTATTTTATAAGGTAATTAAATATGTATGTTACCATTTAAAAAAATATAATTGACACCCGTTTAAGTTGTAAGGGATGATTCCAAAAAGTAATTATTGGCTGATAAATAAAGAATTATAAGTAGCTAAAAGAATTGGGAATAGTTTTTTTTTTAACATTTTTTTTTTTTTATTGGAGTTGTTTAAGTTGATCCCAAAATTTAATCCTATTTCTTATTTAACATAAGTAAAAATTCTACGAAAATCATATTACATCGTATAAGGTGAAGTAATCTTAAGTAATAGCATGAATTACTTATACACGCCTTGCATGTTTTGGTCATTAAGTGTACTTGACTAATATTTGTTTCGACATTAAAGTTCTATTACATGGTCAATTTTTATACGAAAATCAAAAATCAGATAAAATATATTAAAAATAACAAAAAGACATTAATTTTTATGTTCTGTACCTATTTAAGAATCATTTATATTAATATAATAAGAGAATACTTCATAAATCAGCTATTATAATTTAGCAGTATGATTTTACGAAATTAAAAATGAATGCTCTGAATTTAATATTTTCGAAAGAAAAATTAATTCATCATTGTAATGTTTAGAGTCAACGATATAAGTAACAGAGTTCAAGAACTACGCCTAACCTCTTCAAACAATTTCAAAGTTGTGTTAAATGAATTAGATCAACTAAAGAACTTAGTAATAACTTGATAACAAATATAATAATATTATTTTACAAAAAGCATAGACACGCAAATAGGCTACATAGACAATGTGCGTCTATATTGCTCCGTGTAAGGGAACGTGTCATTATTTCGATCATTGAACCCTATTCTGGTGGTAAACTAAATGGAATAGAAACAATATTTTCAATATTCATCCAAGATGAATTGGTAAAATAACATGCTTATTATTAATGAACAAACTTTAGTAAAATGAACGATTAATTCGCAAAATATACTTTCCTCGCTAGCATGATTAGAGAAATAGTTTATGGTCGCTTAACCCATCCACAAAAAATTATGAAAACTATTATATAAAAAATGAGGAAATAAGCTATGCTACTTAAAAATGTTGTTTTAATTGCGGCTATGATAGCCTTTTATTTTTATTAAAATTTGTTC